AGATGCTTGCCTCAGCATGCCTTTCCACTTTGGGGCGTTGCTCACGGCATCGTTTATTGCAGTTGGCAATAACATGAATGAGCTTTAACCCAGATATCTCCCCTTACGCTACTTCACAAGGCTTGACACCCACTTTATCGACCAAGCCTTTCACTAGCATGCTTACATCCTGTGCTTGCAGCTCCAAGGGCTTCTTTTTGCCCACCCAGCTTTATCCCAAAAATGTCCAGAACAGCTGAATGAATTTTAATATAATTTAGAACAGAGTTTATGCTGTTAGTGACTGTTCCAGATTCCTACATCTTAATCCTCGCAGTCGTAAATACCAACGTATACAGTCAGCTAACAACCACCGTTTTGCTGGTCAACCAGAACACGATTTAGCAGAGTACAACTCGCTCATACAAAGTCTGAAGGTCACGAGACATTTTCCTGTATATGGAGTGTGCTTACCTTACCGAGGCAGCAGCGATACATAATTATCGGGGTGTTATACTTGGCAACTGCGTTCTACACCTGAGAGACAAAGAGTCTCGATGTGGCAGAAAGTACAAAACAAATTCAAGCCTTATCCCTACCCAACTGGAATTCATTCATGAAACACAACTGATTCTACATGAATATTTGAGGTTGTCATGATGGTGAGTACAAAGATGGCCATCTTCTGGGTAGTAGAACATCATTTTCAGTGCCTCTTTGTTCCGCAAGCAAGTTATTTCATTGTTTTTATGGAGTGGTAATTCAACTCGTATTCGCAAAACCAAGCAAGGACTTGGCAGTCAGTCACGAGCCAGAAAGCGACAGTTTCATTTTGGTTAATCGGTGAATGTACAATAGCCAATACTGTGAAAATAGGGTGACGGAAACTGAAGCCTGAATGCCTGCTGAAGACATGAAGGGTGTCGTGGTCAAAGGGGTTAAGGTTATACGCTAAAAATGCTGACATATAAATTGGATGCTGTTCTCTCCTTAATTAGCAGAATGAGACTGTACACACCAGGCAACACGCATATACCTCCATCTGAAACACTAGACACGGACAGGCGTTCGTCTTGACAAGGATCAGAAGTAGCGTAAAACCAAAATGCTATTTTTTCTTTTGTTTCCAAGTATAATATATATATACATACATTTCAAAATAATTTCTGAATAATAGATATGGTACAGAAATCTATACAACAAATTCATATTATCCTTAAGAAAGTGCACAAAAATGTTTGCTAGAAAACCCTTCATCGCCAGTCAGCTGTAAATCTCGATCACAGTAGTTAACACACATACATCGGTACAGGCTTACAACCTGCACATTACAAAACATGCCCATTGTACCTTGTAATGCTTTCTCTTTTAATCTGTAACCTGCTAACAAAACAACAGAATTACTTCCGAGTAGAAGTTACATTCGTTCCAAATCACAAATGACATTTTTGTATACTTATATAACCTGCATTGAATCACCAGAGCTCTGGAATCATCACAGACATGTTTGTAATGTAGTCATGGGTTTTACAATTTAAAGAACCATACAGAAATGAAAACAGAACTCAGATTTTCATTGTAATACATGAAATTCCTACAGTGTACAATTTTATATAATAATACTGTATTCTGTTTAAAAAAAGATAGAATAAAATATGTAATTAAGAGAACATAAATGATGTAAATCCATTGTTTTCACAAAAATTAAAACGTCAAATTGCCAAGGGCAACGGCGAACAGATTAGCAAACTACCGACTGCCACCAACTACTCACCATAATGAGGGCTGCCATGATACCAATGCCCCCGAGCAAGGATGCCAGATGGAGCAATGATTCCTTTGGGTTCTCCTCCTGAAGAAGATCTGGCAACACAGTGACTAGCGCAATATGCAGAAATCCGCCCGCAGTAAATGGCAGAATCCAGGATGTCCGTGACTCTGTCAAGCAAAAATACGTGCAGGTCCAGGAATAACAAGATTGTGAATCCAGGAGGAAACAGCTGATATTTAACAAGAGATGAAGACTACAGAAAGTTTGCGGGGAAAAATACGAATGACATGAAAGAACTCTTTACAAATACCGCTATAAATTACAAGCCACTAATGCACTTTTTGTTTAGACAATGAAATAACACTAATCTTCGTCATCTTAAATAAAGAGGCTCACTTCATTTACGCGTAAACTACTGTCCACAGACCAGGAGAAAAGCCCTGCGGTGGGTAGTCGTTTCTGGTGCGGTGCAGGGGGAATGTTTACTATCAGGTGGACTAGAGGGCTGCTATTGGTGGGAAGTGTGACACGCCAGAGAGTTATACTACTACAACACAGACTGAAAACATCAGGCAGTTGAGATTAGCCTGTAGTGAGAGCGTCTGTACTGTGTTCTGTGGGCGTTGTGATAATATTCTAGATTAAATCACTGTGCAGCTGTGAGGTAATCTTAAAGCTGTACCCATTACAACACGTGAAAGCCTGTCGTCTGTTGTTCGTTCAGTAGTTGTGGAACGAATGCTTTTAGGATGGGTCGTCACTCACCGCGAAATCTTGCGCATGCGCGTATATCGAATTCCTAGCAGAGATTTTCTCCTGGTCTGTGGACTGTGAACCTCTAAATGTGTTCTGTGGGTGTTGTGATAATATTCTAGATTAAATCGCTGTGCCACTGTGAGGTAAACTTAAAGCTGTACCCATCAGAAAACATGAAAGCCTGTTGTTCGTTCAGTGGTTGCGGAACCAAAGCTTTTAGGATGGCTAAGTAGCGACTCGTCACTCACCGCGGACAGCATCACATTATTACGTTGGGATTATTGGTGCCTAACAAAGACTACAAGATTAAAAATTAAGAATACCCACGAACAATATGGTGTTCACATTCAGACTTCTCTCTGTGTCTGTTACAAAAAGTAAAATTTGTCCCACTATACGCCATGTAGGCGCTTGGGGTGAGAGGAGGTATAGCTCCTCTCTTCCTTGACCTCGGCACTAGATGGGGGTGAGTGGTCAGCATCACGCCCCGGCCGGCTTTACCCCCGGGAAAGGACCC